TCAGAAGGAATTGTTGCGGAAGATCCGAAAAATAACAAAACATTTCCATATGTGCTTTTTCTTAGAGAAAACAGACTTAATGACTTCAAAAATTTTCTTAAAATTAACAATCGTGAATGGTTCGACAAGATTTATGAAGAAGAGGAAAGAGAATCTGACGACTCAAGACAACCAGACAAATCTTCCAAATCATCAACTGATAGTGAAAGTGAATCAAGTGAATCAATTGAAGATAACAAAGATGACGACCCTATGGAAGTTTCCATCAAATCTAAGGAATCAGCAAGTTTAAGTGATCTAAGTAAATCAAGTGTTTCAAGTGAATCTAGTGAACCTCATCTTAGCTCCTTCCCTAAACAGATATGGGTCAAAAAAACAGCTAGATGCTGTCACTCTGAAGTAACCAACAAATGTAGAAAATGCTCAGCAATTTGGGAGGAGAATAAAACCTTAGACTCAATTGTATGTTGCCACAATGAATCAGCCTTCTCCTGTAGTGTTTGCTACAGTTTATACGAAGAGAAAGGGTCAAAAATCACACTTTTTGAAGCTATGTGCAAACATAATAACTTAAGCCCTCATCAGATAAATTTCGGTTTCCCAGAAATTTATGCGGACCTCCAATCAAAAAATCGTCTCCCATTTAAGGAAGAAGAACCAAAATCATCCTCCTTCCTTAAAAACTTCCCTCAACTTTCAGAAAAGATAGAACCTAGGAAAAGAAAAATGGATAAACCTAAAAAAGATTTAACTAATCCACCAATAACGGCAAATTCTAATAAAAATAAAATAGATACACCATCACAAGACCCATCAAAAAGCAAGAATGAAAATAAGAAGAAAAAAATAGATCCAGATAGGTTTGCCAGGATTAAAATAAAAGATAATTTTTTATGTCAACATAACAAGACGATGACATTGTGTAATTACTGCTCAGCTACTAACTTAAAAGAACTAGAACTCAGAAGTAAATGTCTACACCGAATTTGCCCTACGAAATGTAACCACTGTAGAGACAAAATCTATATTCTGAAGAAAGAAAAAGAAAGAACCAGACTAAAAAATATCAAAGAAGAAGACTATATCCCATATAGAATTTATGAACAAATCTATCTTAGCAATGTTGTTAATAAAAAATTTACAAATAAAAATCAGGATAATAATAATGACCAGAATCTTAACAAACAAGAAATAAATAAAACAACCCAAGAAAATACTAAAGAACCAGATCCTAAACTAAGAAAAATTCAACCTGAACCCCAAATCAATAATGATAAAAGAAAATTTTCTAAACTAGAGGATCCTAATACGGAACCTATGGAAATAGAGACTAAACAACCTAAAACTAACAGCGAAGAAACAATCGCCAACCTAAATATCCCACCTAAAGAACCCCTAAATAAACCACCACCGATTTTTATTATAAAAGAAAACCCAGAAGAAATTAGGAAAATCATCGATGGTTACGAAATAAAGAATTTTACTCTAAAAGTAGTATCAAACAAACAGATCAAAGTCAATATGAAGAAAGAAGAGGATTTCAAATTTTTCTTGTTTAAATTAGGTGAACTAGAAGTAGAACACTATACATTTCAACCTTTTAATGGAAAAGTAGCTAGAAGAATCATCAGAGGACTACCAGTAGATTTCGACATCAATATCCTGAAATCCGAACTGGAAAAATTTGAATTCCTAAAAATTAAAAACATTGCTCAACTACGAAATAAATTTACAAAAAACCCAATCCCTCTCTTTAAAATAGAATTTAAAAGTTACGAAAAAATATGGGAGAAACTAGAGAACATCAAAGTTATAAATAATTATGAGATTACTTTTGAGAGAGAGGGTATCAAGCAAATAGAGATCCCTGTCTGTGGGATCTGCCTCAACTTTGGTCATACAAAAAATTACTGTAAATCGAAACTAATATGTATCATTTGCAATGAATTTCACCATAGCAAAGTATGCCCCATTCCAGACTTAACAACCCAAAAGAACGAAATATGGAAACCAACATGCCTCCATTGTAAAGAGGCACACTTTACAACCTGGAAAGGATGTAAAGTCTATAAAAGACTTAGAAATCAAAGGATTAAAAAATTTAAAGAAATCAGTGAAGAATGTAAAAATATGGCCATGGAAGAGAAAGGACCCGCAGATATAAAACAAAGAGATGGGATATTAATCCAAAACAATAACAGAAAAGATAATAAACCTAACTATAATGATGAAATTAAAAAACTTAAAATAGAAATAAAAAATTTAGAAACTAAAAGATTGGAGGAAATTTCCCAAGTCAAAAAAGACATAATGTCTCTTAAAAAAGAGATTGTGGAATTAAAATCAATGTTGCCAGCTCACTGATAACAGTGTCAAAAATTTTTATAGATAAGTCCTCGTAATTTAAACTACTTGGAGCGGTTGTCCCTCGTGAATCTAAAATTTTACGACCTCTCGACTCAAATATCTCAAGTAGGAGGTTGCAAATCCTCATTTATAAAGTAGATCCAGACATCAGATTTTTTCTCCCTTTGGGTTTTTTATTTTGATGTAACAATTTGTCTCCAAACAATGTAGAAACATTTCAAAACTTCATCGAAGTCACAGTAGCTCTATTGAAAAATCAATTAACTCTTATCAGCACTTATAAGTTGTTCCGCTAATCTAATGTCCATTGACATATCGTCTGAAAAGACAGTAGTTTTTATTAGTATATAATCGATCGATGATTGAAAACTATATTATTAAGATAAGTTGCTGTATTTGTCTATGTCTTCATATGAATAAATCGTTTGTAATTATCTTAATAAAAAAAAAAAAAAAAAAAAAAAAAAAAAACTTGAAATCACAAAATCGGTCGAGGATGTCAATTGAAACTTTCCCCCCTTTAATTATGAGCTCCGCAACAAGCGTGACTCCCTTGTACCTTTTCATACACGAGCCGCACGAATTCATCTCTTCTTCTCTCCTCTCCTTCCGTCCATGGACAGAGGTCCAAAATTTTTCGGATTTACTGACGCGACCGGCTGCGGCTCGGTGCGTAAACATGGGTGAATTACTAAGATTACACATTAGTCAGAGAGAAACACGTACAACCTGTCGACTTAAGTGGGGCTCATTCCGTGAAGGGACTCAACTCCTCCACTATAACAATTCCACTAATAATTTTGCGATTCAGAAATCCCCTCACTTGTCCGGACCTAACGTGTCTGTCGAAATGTCATCCAATGGTACAGATGTATTTTATACTTAACTGATGGAGTATAAGAACAATTATTACTTACAACCTACCTACCGTCCAAAGCAAATGGTATGCTCCCTTAAAAAAAATCCATGTTTCAGATGAATCATGTTTCGAAAAAGTCTAACATGTGGTTATGGAAAAATGGGTCGACTGGTGAAACTGCAACCGACTTGAAGCCGACATCAGGGATGATAAGAAGGCACCGATTCACTGAGAGCATCGAGCCGCAGCCGGTCGCGTCAGTAAATCCGAAAAATTTTGGACCTCTGTCCATGGACGGAAGGAGAGAAGAGAAGAAGAGATGAATTCGTGCGGCTCGTGTATGAAAAGGTACAAGCGAGTCACGCTTGTTGCGGAGCTCATAGTTAAAGGGGGGAAAGTTTCAATTGACATCCTCGACCGATTTTGTGATTTCAAGTTCATTCGAGGGATTTATCTCAAAATCGGTTTTTTATTTATTTTTGGCAAGGGATTTATTTTTCATTTTATTTTTTTCCTTTCGAGTGAGTTTTTGGAACTTTTTGATGATTATTAGTCTTAGTGAACCTTGGGAATTCATCAAAGGTTTTTGCCTATCTTATACTTGATTAAAAGGAAGTGACACGTCAATTTCCTCGACCGGATTTTTTGCCCGAAAAATGTTTTTGAGGGTTTTTGTAGTTTTAAACGTAACTGACATTTCTTAGAGAACAAAACGTTTTATAATAGCAATTTTTTTTAAAAAAAGTGAAAGATTGGCAAAAGTGCTAGAATTAAAAACATGTTGAGGTTAATCCTTTTAGTCAGAATTAATTAATTAACTAAATTGAGTAGGTAGTTTCTAACTTTTGACACTGATGATGGTGCAAAGACATGGAAAAGCTTCCATGTTTGTTGAGAACTGTACATCTTTTATCTAGAATTTGTCACCACATTGACATCCTGTGATACGCACATTCAACGTGCGATATTGTAATTTTTTTTTTTTTTAGAGAGAAAAAGATTGTATAAAAGTGTGTAATTTTTTTTTAACTTTTTATTTTTTATAGCGGCTCAGCACAGTATTATTCAGAGTATTAGGGGGAGAGGGTTGGGACTTAACCATTTACTTAAAGTTACGTAAGTCAGAGTTGGCCACAAATTAAGCTGACTCTTCCATCTTGAGTTCAAAGTTGACATTGATAATTCTTGAACATTACAGATTTTGGCGTCACTAATGCAAAACTGGCTGTTTATCGAAATTGGGCTGGAATTGGTCATGCCTACAGTCATTCTTGGTTCGCTTCACAACAACCCTGCGGAGCCTCTTAACATGAACGATGATCAAGCGTCCTGGTTTGGTAATGAAACAAATCTTGAGATCGAGTTCATTTACATTCCAGAATTCAAAAAATGCATATATGTCACCATAGTTAATCTCCTTGAATGTTCCTAGGTTGTTTGTGCAATATTTTAAATTCCCCCCGTTTTCAAATCTGTAAAACACATCGGGAACATTTGCAAGAAACATCTTCAAAACATTTAGGATTTGTAAAAATCTTTTAAAAACTCTTTTGCGTCTTTTTGTCGCATTATGACACTAAAATTCATCTAGCGTATGAAAACAAAGCGATTAAAAGTTACATATGTGTTCGGCAGGGAGCATTCCAGACTTTTGTCAACCTATCGGTAGTCTGACGTCGGGGCTGTTGCAAGATAAATTCGGTCGGAAAGGGGCCATGATGCTCGTTAACATCCCCATTTTCATGGGATGGATGCTCCTGTACTTCGCCGAATCCATCCACGCGCTCTACGTCGTTTCGGTCATCATGGGACTTTGCACGGGTCTGGCCGAAGCCCCCCTCTACGCCTACATCGGCGAGATTGGGGAGCCACGTATGAGAGGGACCCTCTCCACTATTTCAACATCCTGCTGTAGCATAGGTAATATACATGGTGCTCTAAAGCTCGATCCAGTTCCTCTAAAATTTTGGCTAATTCATATTGTGAAACGAGACTCGGCGAGTGTGTTCATGGATTAATATAAGCCACGTTTAAGACCCTTCAACATTTTCCGGGCGCCCTTAGGGCAGCTTACATGGATCAACACATTGGCGGATCCAGAAATTGGGCAACACCGAATTTCCTCAATTTAAACTAATGGAAATGCATCGACTCTTGGTGCTCCGCTAAGAATCGATTATTTAGCATAAGTTTAAATAGAGGAAATCTAGTGTTGCCAAATTGCTGGATCCGCGTCTGGATCAACATCCCCAAAGTCTCGTAATAAAAAAAGGGGGGGGGGGGTTAGACAGGACCTTTGGGCCACCCGCATTAGCCGTGAAAAAAAGATTGAAAATGAGCCAGTTGCGTCGATCACGGAATCGTGTTTTAATGCTTCATTCTTGCGGATTAGCAACAAATAATAAGATCTGTCCTAACAGCAAATTTCTACGTTCAATATTAAGCGAGATATCTTCCTTTAAAAAGTCGGGTTTTTGCCGTCATCCACCGCGGTGGTGACACCCTTGGTTTCTTCCACCTTGCTTTCATCAATCAAGGAAACAGACATTTGCTCTGGTTACTGAACGTATAACTCGGATGATAGTAAGGTGGAAGAAGAAACCAAGGGTGTCACACCGCGATGGATGACGTAAAAAACCGAATTTTTCAAAGCGTGATATCGTTGCGTGCGCTGTGCGGACCAGTACCAATTATTGTTACCTGCGTGAAAAATCGTGCGCTTAGCGGCGGACAGCAAGTATCTCGCAGGTTTAGCGTTTGAGTCCGAAGAGGGTTCGTGCGCTAAGCGGACAGTTCTAAAATATTGCGTATTACGGAGAAAATAAAAGTTCAAGTAATTTCCTTCACACTTCATTCAGGCTTAGGACTGACTGCATTTTCGTTTCGGAATAATACAGACGTGCTTAGAAGTATTGTAAGTTGGCCACATTACTCGCCTTTTGATACTACATTAGCTGATGATACATTACTTAACTTCTCTTGCGCCTTTTCTACACACTTCCATTTTCACTATGACATCTTCCTCGACTCGATCCACACCTTTGCAGTCCGCTATATGCTTCACTGAATCTTGTATCCTCTTATCCAATGTTGTTTCCAGCTTTCCGGTACACTTTTGCTTCTTATCATTGACGCAAACCCATGAAATGTTCTCTCCTCTCTTTCGGTGACGTCGGTACCGATAACCATCGTAGATTAGGTTTTCGTTCCCTTTCCTTGACGTTACACAATTTATTTCACTCATGCTTACAAGTTTAAACACTCCGGGTCTACGAGTTGAGGGAAACTGATGTGATATGCCGCAATCACACGCTGAATGTGGCTTGAATGTGGAAGTCATCGGCAACGATGCCTAAATTTTGCGCGTGACGCGCAAAATTCAGCAACGATTCTCAGCAACCATCGGACTAATGTTGGATGTGTCTGAACTATTCGAGTAGATTTGATACACATCTGGATGAAAATAACTCAAATTTGCGAAATTTCAGCCGTTAGGCGATGACTGTTGACTTCCACATTCAGCTGCTAAATTTAGCGTGTGATTGCGGCATAACTGAAAAACGGGTATTAACTGCGGTGCCTATTGCTTCACCTTTTTACTTTTGCCCGCTCTGTACACGCCAGTATAGACCTACCTGGTTTCCCCTGAGCGAAAAAAGGGTCAAAATGGTTCGTGCCCACTCTAGGCACGCTCGCACAGCGCACGCAGCCCGTGATATCTCGGTTAAAATTGAACGTTGAAACTTGCCTATTGGACAGATCTTTTTATTTTTAGCTAATCTACAAGAATCAAGCACTGAAATACGATTCTGTGACCAGTGCAACTAACCCATTGAGTTGCTATAAAGGACCATTAAATGGACGGAGTTAAACAGAAAGGAACCAAGCCACATCGGGATCGAACCGAGAAAAAGAGGTTTAAAGTTTGACTCCTGCATAAGACTCAATGTAAACGATAAACTTCAAGTTCAATTTCTGCAAAATTTGCTCCGACAAAAATTTTGAATTTTTAGCTATAGATAGTAGAGCAGTGGCTGGGTTCAAAACCACTCATAATTCAATTTTTTCCAAAATGTGGGTTGGTTCCTTTCTGCTTAACTCAGTCCAAATGATCTTTTCCCGAACGAAGAAACGTAACCCTATTCCAAGGTTGCAAAATTAACTCAAACGTTACGATTTTTTACAAGAATATACCTGTGCAATTCTTGTCCACAATGTGTCTGATTTTTGTAGGAGCAGGCCAGGGGAAAAATCAGTGAAATGTTTGGCTAGAGATTTCTAAGATTCTCCTAGTATAATACTATATGCGAGGGGACATTTGGACTGCATTTTGCAATTTGGACCTATAAATTATGGCTCATCTGAAAAAAACACTTATGTGCATAGGGAAACTAATGGCGCATACGTTGTTTTTAAACCGGGCCGGAATTTATAGGGCCAAATTGCAAAATGTAGTCCATTTGGTAACACTGCAATGCAGTTACGTTTTCTCGTGAAGAAACGACGAAAGGGAGTGAGAGGCCGTTCAAGCAGAGGCGGATCCAGCAATTTGGCAACACCGCATTTCCTCCATTTAAACCTATGCAAAATAATCGATTCTTGTTGGAACGCCTGACCCCTCCGAGAATCGATACATTCCTATAGGTTTAAATTGAGAAAAGATATTGTTGCCAATTTGCTGGGTCCGCCAATGCATTCAAGTGTCACCTGTGAGGCACTTCCAAAGACATTAAGGCCTAGTGCTCGTATCTAAAAGCATGAAGAAAAAGTGAAGCTTGGTTTTCCGCTGGGTGCTTGTGTGAGTGTGTAAATGAGCGCGGGAATCCATGGCGGCAAACGAAAATTTGATTTGAACTTGTCCTCTTGATTTTTCCACATTTCTTCTCCTAAATGAGTTTAAATGCCTACAACGAATATAATAAGAAAGTTGGGACATTGAATTATTATAATACACATACTTCTGCTTGGTAACAGGCACTAATCTCATACATAAAGTTAGTTTTTCTTCTGCTCATGGTGGTCCTGCCGGTTCAAACAGGCCGTTACAGTCCTAGATGACCCTTACTCCCAAATGAAATTAATTGGTCGATGACGGACCAAAAATAACCTAAAGCTAAAAAAATATATGTGGGTAAGTGAATTTGGGCAAAAATCAACCTAGAATACTTTTTTTACGCAATTTTATTCAGTTCCCGGCCTACATTTGAATTTCAAACTTTGCAGTCAATCCTCCAGCCAAAAGTAGAGGTGGTTGAAAAGAAGCTTCATTTTTTGCGGCAATCACATAACTCGTTTGCGGTGTCTGAAAATCTCCGCCTCTATGTTATTTTTTTAAAGGAGAACAAATTGACATCATTTCTTGAAGTTTTTGCAGAATTTTCTTCTCACAGAGAAGAAAAATCATGGCAGTTTTGAAGAATCACCGGTGAGTAGTTTTCCGTTAAAATAAAGTATGACAGGAAGTCTGCGACGTCGCAAACCGAGTTACGTGATTGCCGACTTGCACCGTCGATATGTTGATTTTAAACTGAGCCAGATATTATAGTTCCTAATTACAAAATGTAGTCGACGTGGAACATTCATCAGAGCTTTAAGCTTTTGTCTCTCAACCGGTGACTCATTCCCTCTTTCATTAAAAAGAATACTTGTCACCCTGGTGTAAAATAGTAGCAAAGAGATTTAATTAAAATTCAGGTAAAATTGTTAATTCTACAATAGTCACTTCCATGAAATATTCATCATTGATCCGTATTGCCTAAACTTAACGATGCAATCTATTATGACAATATATATACACAATCTTTACATCTATTTGACCTACCTGTTATGTTCTAATTTGAATTTATCTCTCAGGTATTTGCGCATTGTTCTTATTTGGTTACCTTTTCGATTGGCGAACAGTTGCTTTAGTAAGCAGTTCATGCTCTATCATCACATTCACGTTCATGACTCAGGTTAGACAACACACTCAAATAATTTTCAGACATCCAGGGAAGGGTACCTTCGGGCAGAAAAACTCAAAATTGAGTCATCAGTGCCCAAGTATTGATGGAGACTTTACGATTACTAGCCGTTCTGGGCGCGCTTCGCGCGCCCGTCACGCCTAGCCGGGGGCTACGCCCCCTGGACCCCCGGTCACTCGCTGCGCGAGTGACATTCGGCTCGCTTCGCGAGCCGATTTTGTAGTAGTTGCAAATTTTTTATCACTATATTTTGAAGATTTCATAGAAAACATTATGAAATTCTCATTCCACAATTAACTTGTAGAATAATAATGGCAGGGCAAGAAATAGACTATATCTTATGGACGGTTCCCACTTAGTAAAAACAGCCAACACCACGAGAAGGTGAGGAACCATTGTTAGCCACTTTTTTTTACTTTTCTGAAAAAATTTACTGAAATTTTAGTTGCGTCCCCTAAAAGGAAACACGGAGAAAAAATTTTTGTGCATGGAACCCGAAGCTGAGATCATATGGATCTCTGAAGTTTTCGGATCACGCATCCGAAAAGTTAAGGTCCATCTGCCGAAGTTCGGGTCAGACAATTGAAGTAGTTCGGTATAAACCGAAGGTTTCAGGTCACACATCTGAAGTACTCGGTGCATACCGAAGTGTTTCAGATTTCTGACCCGAATTTCGGCAGCTGGACCTCAAGTTTTAAGAGATTCATATGATCTCAACGTCGGGTCCCATGCACGAAGTTTTTTCTCCGTGTGAGTATTAATATAAATTTCAACACAGTCAAACACAGTAGAGAACCAAGGAAATCACAGTAGAACAGAGAAAAAACAAGCAGTGAACTCCAACACAATGTGTTGATAAGGCGCGTCATTAACTCGCACATATCAACCCCTTTAGTTTTCATTTACAGAGATTTCAAAATAGGCAAGTAGCACAACAAGAGAATTCATACGATCCAACACTGAGAGGTCAACGACGCACTTTGACGAGACCGTGTATTGTGAATGTTAAAAGCCATTCGAACGAGTTTAAGTTTTTTGATCTGCCCCAAGCAAAACCTTATCAGATTCTTAAAGAAAAGTGCTACGTAATAATTTAAGCGGAGAAAGAAAAAATGTTGTCGAACTCCTAAAAGATAAAGTCGATTTAAAGGTATTTTGGGGCTAAAATACCCAAATCACCGGCATTATAAATCCCGTTATATTATTGAAAAGAAATTTACTCGATATAAATGCAATTGCATTAGATATGTCTTGATTTTGTCATGGGAACGGAGTTCCCCATGATATTAGAATCGTTCCGTTGCTTTCGCTATGGGATTCCCTATACCTCTGCGACCTTGAGCGTTTCGCCCAGTCTCCGATTTTTGGTTGATTTTCCGACGTATCAAAAACCGTTGTATTTTTTAGCCAATCATGTCTCTACGTCAAGTTGTGTTGATTGCTAAAATTCGCTTTCAGCGAGTTTTTTTCCA